GTTTTGTATCCTACAGAAAGTTGGGAATATCCCTGATTAATTAGTCCTGTATTTCTAAGCTGATTCAAGGAAGATTACATAAAAGGAAAGTCGACCTAATCCTATTTATTACTTTACAAGAAAACTTGTTCTGTTACAATTTTCAAAAAATAATTTCTCAATTTAACTGTAATTAAGTGTAAATACTGTTTTTGTTTTAAATTTATTTAATTAAAAATATTCTCAAAAAAAAAAAAACAACAAAACTTGTCATAATTCTTAAAAATAAAGTTTTTTTTTTTTTTTTTTTAAATTGAACTGTGATTAAATGTAAATAGTGTTTTTGTTTTAAATGTATGAATTTAATTTTAAAAAATCTTTTGTTCTATCAATTTAAGTGATGATTAAAATTGTTTTTTGAAACAATGGTATTCTTTTTTCTTTTAACATCAGTCTTTTTTTTTTTTTTCTTCACTTCATTATTTCTCACCCATGAATTTTCTCTTTACTGAATATAGCTTCCTTCACATCTCCAAGCTACCTAAAAGGTATGTCATGAAACCTATGTTATATTTCAAGGAAAATTATAATCCATAGACTACAATATTAACTGCTTAAACATTCTGAGACTTCAGTGAACTTACAATCCCATATGTAGATAAAACCATTATTGATAATCTAATGTTAAATTTTTTATTTTGAAAGAAATCCTAAGAAAGTTTTTGTACCTAACTGATTAGATTCACACTTTAAGACAATTCAACTGATTTCATTGCTGAATAAATCATAATACAGTGGAGGACAATTTCCTATTGATCTCCACATCAAATCCACTGACAGGAGAATATCTACTTCTGGCAACCTAGACAATAGTCATTGACCAAGACTTTAGTTGAAGGAAAACACAACTGTCAGCAATGATTAAAGAAAATTTCAAACTGATTAGGGTCAAATAGTCAATGACAAGGGTGATAAGACTATTCTTGGTGTTGTCAGGATTTCAACACTGAGAAGCACAAAATACCCAGATGTGATTGCTGTCATGTAATTCAAGGACATAATCACAGAAAAAGCCCAGAATAAGAACAGTTCTGCAGGAAACAGATCTGATAGAAATTGGCAACTCAAAATAGAACTTAAGATAGGTTAATTTATTAATAAGAGCCAGACATTTTCATGCTTTATTTACTAAATCTGTTTTGAACTGGGAAATACAGAATTAGCAGAGGGACTCAGGCAAGTAAAGGTAGGAACATCTTTTGTTCTATTCCACCACTGGGTTTCTTGTGTAGTTCAGTGATTTAAAAATATTGTCTGTATTGAATAACATCAAGAACTTTACTTTTAAGGTAAACTTTTTCCAACTTAAAGATTAGTGTAACACATTCTTTATCACCACACTAAGCTGAGTAAATATTAAGCCAATCATGTAATTTTAATTGCAACTCAGATTGTCTCTCTTGAACGTGAAATATTTGTGTTTCCCACTGGTTGCAATTGATCAGATTTGAAATTGGGTTTTCATTCCTCAGCTGTAATAGTTTTATTTTTCAGCGATACCAGAAATTAGGGCTTGAGATGACATAAAAAAAGCTAGAATTTATAGATGACTTTAAAGACTTTCTCAAAAGATAGGGACTGAAAGATTTAATTAAGTGAACAGAAATGGATGAGATAACTAATAAAATATTATACATACACATATATATATATATATAGTGAGAGAGAGAGGTCAACACCAAGTGGTAACAGTGTTTCATGCAATATTCAGGCTAAGTATGTTGTTTTAGCTTGATTATTTATATGTTGGGTAGTAAGGTCTATTGTATTATCCTGGTGGTTAATAAGTTGTTTCAAATTATTCTAAAATTCTAGAGGTTATTGAGTAGAAATAATTGTGAATCCAAATGCATTTAACATTTTACTAATTATCGATTACATAATTATTTGCTGTTATTTATTATTACATTTACTGGTCTCTTTGTAGATAATTATTTACTTTTTTTTTCAGGGTTGGTTATCTTATTTGTTTAGTTTAGTTTAAAGTACGTACTTTGTAAAATACCACCATGAAAAATGTACTTTATACAAAGTATTCATTTTTGGTCCTCAGTTTTTAAATTTTAAGTAATGTACTAAAAATTTGTTTTTGTGTCTACATTTTAAGTTCTGATCATTTATTTAGTAATTTGTGTTAGCCTGGAATAGTGATTATAGCTATATTCTGCTCCCACAAAGTTTAGATTTTTTTTTTTTTGTAGGCTGATGTTGTTTTCCATGTTTGCTTATTTACTATTTGTAAATATTTTACTTTCAGCTTCCAGGGATCTTCAGTTACTCCTATATATTTTTTTCTCAGTTATCTGCTGATTTTACAGTGGCTTAGTATATTATAGTTTTGCAAGCAATTGCCACTTAAGGGACAATCATTCTTTGCTTTGCAGTTACCAGTGGGCTTGGTTTCTTGGTTATTTCTGTTGTACTTTTTTTTTTTATTATTTATCATGTTCTCAGTGCAACTATTTTTTTTTGTTTTATTTAACTGTGTTTTTGTTGAATATTTTGTGGAGAAGAGACACACACACACAATATAAAGAGCATATCCACACTACCAATAATTTCAACATTATTAAACCAAATCTATCTGTATTTGGAGAAAAAGATATTTACTCCCCAAAAGTGATTAATAGATTGAACTTATCATCAAAGTAATCTAATAGTTTGCCATCAATTAACAGTTGCTTCAATCCAGGTTTGTTTAAAATTTCACCCAGAACATTTAATCGTTTGAGGTGGACACCCTTAATGTCACATGGTCCGAATTTTTCACCTTTCCGATATGTTTAAAGGCATTAATTTAGTACTGCCTTTCACACATCATTTAAAATTAGTGAAATATTTTCTGTGAAAAAAAATGTACAAGCAATATTTCAAGATTGTTATTCTTTATTACAAGCTTCCATTTTCATCATTACACAACAATGTGATTACAATGTTTTCCTTTTGTGTTATTTTTTACTCAATAGTTAAGCTTCATTATATATTATCTGGCAATTTAGTTTTAATGATTTACATAATATTTCAAATTATGATCAATGAAAAAGACTCCTGCAGACTCTTAACTTGATAAGTTTACAAGAAGCTTTTCTTTGACATTTCTCATCAGCAATAGGTTCTGCTGTAAATTGTTTTATTACTCCATGACATGCCACAGACATCTTTTTCTTCGGGAATTGTTTTGAGAAAAAATAGAATTGCTGGCTTTAGATTCTTTCAAGTGCTTAAGTGAAGAAATTTCTTAACTAGGTTCTGTAGACACACAGCTTTCCACTGACTGACTAATGAGTACCTCCATAATGCATTTGCCACATCAAGAAATGAAAACACAAACAGTGGTCCCAATATCAAATTTGTGTTGTATTTAGGGTTTCACTTGCTCGGTCTTTAGGTTGGTGACACTCGGGGTAACTTCTGAACTGTTCACCTTTTCCCTATATCTCACATGTGGCTGGCAATATAAATAGGTGTTATTGGAAATACCCAAGGAACAGTTTGTTCCCTGTCAAGGGAAAACCAGAACTGATTTTGAGATCCCAGCAGCTTTAATACAGATTGGCAACTGGAAACCTGTGACTGGCATGTTGTCATATGACCTTGAGGCGAACAGAAGAAAATGAGTGGATGCTGCCTGGAAAGATCCTATTTGCCAGCTACAAAACAGTTTGATATATATCAGTTTTTTGTTTGTCTTTATATGTAGATGTCCCAATAATAGAGTGACAACCCACTCTTACCAATCTTTTCTCTCTATTGATGGACAAAAAAAAAAAAAAAAAAATTGAACTAACAATCTCGAGGAAATGCCTATTGTGAAAACAGCAAAATAGTATTTGTAAATGTTTATATACTTTTATAAGAATAGGTTTGTATAAAAAGCAATGTTCAGAAGCAATTTTAAAATTCAGACCTTATTTAAGCTTTAATACAAATAAATTTCTGAAATATATGGATTTAAAATATGAACAAATATTGTCACGTCCTGCTTTCTTTAAAAGCTACTTTTTTTTTAAAAAAGAATCTGCCCAAAAGAAAGGCAAATTACTATTGTACAAAATACAAGGTGCAGCAGAAATATTTCTCACATAATGGTAAGAGTGACAATGGTGCCTTCATCTAGCTAATGTCTTACCATTATGTGGGGAATAGTTCTGCCAAACTCTGTAAAAAAAACAAAACATTTTCAGCCAACAATTCTTGACTGACCTTCAAATTCTTGAAATTTATACGTTTGATTTTTTTTTCTTAAAAAAAATTATATGAATGAAAGAATAATGTAAGTGACAGACTAAAACCTCCATTTTATGATCACACAGCTTAGGTTTAGATACTTTAAAGTTAATTTAGTCTAAATTCTTACTGGATGCACTTTTAACTTGCAAGCAATGGCTTATTTGGCCAGAATCCTTTTTCACTACAGGTTGGATCACATTGTTTTAATTTCTATTACTCAGATTGCCTCATATGGTTATACATCCAGCTTAAACAAGATTTTTATTTTGATGGTGTTGATTGGGAAGCCATCCACCACCAAAGTGATAAATGTAAGTTAATTACCTTTAAACCAAAAATACACACCATAGCTACATAGAAATAAATAAAAGATTTGAGAGAAAATATTTATTGAATTATGTACATTAGTTAGTTTATATATAATAGATACAATAGGAATGTTTTCCTCACAAATCTACATAGATTTTATTTAAGAACTAAAGTATAAAAAACCAATGCAATTAATCCATTGAAATATGAAAAAAGAAACTGGACTATATAAAAGCTATCACTGAAAATATCCATTGATAAAGTGTACCAGTTATAAGTATAACTTTTTCCATGAGATCAAAAAAGAAAAAAGCCCTATATATATATATACATATATAAATATATATATATATTAAAAAACCCTCAATCTTTGAGGCATTGTCACTCACTTTAGCATTTGATGAAAATGAATAATTTTAATGTTATCTACAAGACAAAATGACCAGGCAATGTTTTAACATTTGTTTCAATACTTGAGACAAAGAAATGGCTTCCTTCCATTGAATCAACACCATTTCCTAGAAGGGGGAAAAAAAAAATTAGTCGTATTAAAATGAGTACAAATTTTTGTAACATGGCTGCATTAATTACAGCCACCCCACATTAAATGGATTAATTATGTCAAAGTAAAAACAAATATAGCCATACTCTGGCTTTACAATAAGACCAAATTGAGCCAAACCCCACTCCAAGGAAACAAACTTACCTCTAGAATAATGAAATTAATTAACATTTGAGAGAAAGTTGTGCAGCTTTCGCCAGGTCTGATGATCATATTCATTTCGGAGGCCATCAGCTATTTTCAGGCAGTTACGACCATCAAAAGTCTTCGTTCTTAGGAGATCAGGAATCTTTGAAGACTCAACCCCCTTCAAAATAGTATCCACCATCAAATAGTCTTTGCTTTCAATGGCATACATCAGAGGTGTTTTGCCACTGCATCTGTCTTGGAGATTGGGATTGGCCTTGTTCTTAAGAAGCAGAGCAACATTCTGACAATTATCAATCTTGGTCATTTGGAACTTCTGGTTAGGAACCAATTTACCATGCTCAATAATAGCACAGTGAAGAGCACTCAGACCTGAAAATTAGCAATCAGATAGAATAATGACAATAAGAGTTTGAAAGCAAAAGTAGAGAAAAAAAAAGTAGGTGGGGAGAGGACAAGAAATAGAATTAAACTGACATTTGAAAATCTATATATCTTTATTTTTAAATTATTTTCTTAAAACCATATTAAGTCAGTGGTGAATATTAATCACTGAGCAAAAATTATATAGTGAAATATTTTCAAATAAAGGTTTTTGGAATGTTTTCTAAGATGGCTTTTAAGCCCAGTTTTTGAAAGTCATTTTTTCATATATGCACAACATAAAAGCATATAAGTTTCTTATTGAATTGTACTCATTTGGTTGAACATGCAGAAGCCTACATAAGAATTTCATTGGAATCTAAAGTATACAATCTCATAAATAGGCATCTGTGATCAAATAAAATATTCAAACCTCTTGATATACCAATATATACATTGGTTGAGTTCAAAGAAAAATGTCATCTATTTCAGAACAAATAACTCGACTCTCCAAAAAAAGTAATCTAAATCACAATAACAAACAAATTGTTATATGTGAAGTGAGCAATATTCAGACAACAGATGCATTTTTGTATATTGGCTCAATTTCCCAATACAGATTCAATATTTTTCTCTTTCTTAATTGAGGAAAATGAGAAATAGGCCCACTAGCCACTCTGAAGCTTAGCCTTCAGTGTGTACGGCCTTTTCACGAATGTGGACTGTGATATCAACACAAAAACTGTAATATAAAACTACTTGGCTGTAAGAAAAAAAATTTTTACAGATAGCAAAGATCGTTGAGAAAAATGACTGTGTACACTAAAAAATAAACAAAAATATTTATCATTATCTTACCATCAGAATTTAAAATGTCAGGATCAATCACAGGTGATGTAAATAGTTCTTTTAGTGTATCATAATATTCTTTGCCCTGGGATGCAGCACAATGGATAGGAGCACGTTCCAACCTCTCATGTTGGTAACCTTGCATCTGGAAAAGAAAGAATTTTCAGATGGAGAGGGAAGTAAAACAGCTGAAATTAACAAGTGCCAGTGTGACAAATTATCCAAAAATAAGTTAAACTATCCTTTCTCAAGGTCAAGTCTCAACACACAAGCTACACGTGATTTGAAGCATTGCAATTGTGACTAGACGTGCACATTTCTCTCATACTTTTTTTTTTTTTTTTTTTTTTTGGGGTATCTCTCAAAGTAATGAGGACTACTTCAAACCAGCTGTCCTCAACCTGATCTACTGGCAAATGTAGAAGTTAGATTGTTTTTAAAAGACTAGAGAACTTCAACTACACTGCTATTTACTTAATAGTTTTTTTTTTTTTAAGGAACATGTGAATACTAAGTGTTCCAGACAAATTTTGAACTCAGTTCATCTTTTCTAACCATCAAACCACCTCTCAATCAAATCGAGTTAATAAAAGAAATATATGAAACTATGATTAAAACAGCTGATTTGGTTTGAAGACTTTAGAAATCAAACAACAATTTTTTTTTTCTTTAAGTCCTCAGTTTTTTTTAATCTTTTCTGGAATTGCTTCACTTATTAATATTTAAAGTTGTGTTGCTGTTAAATCAGTTTTCTTATTGCAGATTTTCAATTCAAAATAGTTCCTAATGAGATCCAATACCCAGGAAATCATTCAAAATAAGATTCATTTATAAATTGATTTAAACTAATTACTTTTTTGTTCAAAATTTTAGAATTACCCAGACATTCTTTATTTTAAATCATTGCAAAAATGTTCTCAAATTCATCATCAGTAAGATATCCTTACCATTCCTTTAATGTTGACATCAGCACCATAACGAATTAGTTTATGAACCATCGCAGGCTGATTTGCAGAGACAGCCAAATAAACAGGAGTCTGAAGAAAAAAAAAATATTTTGGTTAAAAATAAATTCACTTGCATGTGTGTTCCTTTAGTAGGCAGTGGTTATTCATGTGGTGGTAATTTATTACAACTATCAGTAAAAAAAAAAAAATAAATAACTTCCAGGTACTTGAATGATAACTCCTGTCCTCTAATGTCCAACTCACCAAACAGGAAGTGACTTTACCATAGCAGTGGGTGTTGTCTTCATTCAATTATCCAAACATTGATAAAGTAGTTTAACAGAGAACAAACAAGGTACATTGCCTCACAACCATCACCTTCTAAGAGACTCCTTCCTCCAAACTGAGCTATGTTTGAGATTCTGGCTGCATGCTTAGCTGTACCTAAAAGTTAAGATGAGTTGTGCTCCTTTCTCTAAAACAAACTATATTGAATGCAATCTATTATTAGTGTAACAAAAATAATTTAGATTTTAATTCTTATAATATTTAATATTGAACCTAGTTCTGCTGACAGTTTTCTAATTGTCAGTTTTTGGTAGAAGAGAACCACAACAGTTATTCATATCTTAGTATTAGGAGACACCTTTGTCAGTAAGGCCATAAATGAGATTTCTCTTGCCAATGTATCAAGAGTATTAACTGTAGCTTCCAAACTAACCAGGTGAACAGGAAGAAAGGCTATGTTGCTTATCCTGATCAATGAGTGACATGCCATGTCAACTTACTTTTTGCATCAGAGTCAAACACCAGCACCAAGCCCAGGATTGAGTAGATGGTTGCACGGTCCAGCAGGATTCTGCTCCTTTCCTACACAGCCCATGAAGAGATGACCAGATGTCAACCACCATCCACCTTATATGTGGACTCCCACATCTCTTGATCTGAATCCCTGGGATTCATGCTTTCTTACAATACCAAGGACTCGTTGTAAATATGATAGCCATACATGCATGCACTTGGTTCAGAGATCACATTGAAGTTGTTTCCAGGGCTGAATTTTCTAAGTTGAACACGTGTACAATTTGTTTTAAATTCACAGCAGTTTTTTTTTTTTTTTAATATCTTAGTTCTTATTTTCATAATTTGTTCTTAATCACTTGGCATACTCTTTTTATATTTGCCTAATTTCTGTTTCTCCATTGTTATAATCAACTTAACAATTATAAGTTCTGTCTTTGCTCAGGATGTCTATTATATTTGATAATCATTCCAAGTTCAAGCCTCACTGGGTGTTCTGTATTTGTGGTCTGAAGTCAAACTAAGCTAAGTTTAATAAATGATTATAAGAACTAAGATTAGGATACCAGTCCAAAGAGATGGTCTCCATAGGAGTGAACTTAGAAGACTCAATGGATATGTTCTCTTAAGACAATCTCTACTTTTGAATAAAGGTTTGGTGTAAAGTTTGCCTAAGACTCAAATGCACCTGAACGTGACCATAGGATACAATGACCAAAATGTAACTATAACAAAGAGAAGTTTAATGATATTTGAATTTCTGAAATTCAAATAGAAAAATATGCAGCTGAAAACTAATAATGGTCTTCATAGTGAGAGTAATTATCTTTTTTTCTGTATGTTCTAATTTAGACTCAAGTGTCGGACAAGCGTCAGCAAAAAATAAAATATAAAGTTCTGACATATAAAATGCAAAAAACTATGAGTATTTCAAGAGGCTGTTTCAAGTTACTACCACAAAGAAATTATGGAGATTCAAACTGAATTTTTCTGTATTTTTTCAGAAATTAAATTTATATTCAGACTTTAATGTAAAACAACTTGCATTTTATAAACTGGTCAATTATTCAGTAGTGTACTCAGATTATTTGCTAAATAAATGTGAGATTTTTTCTTACTTTGTCAAGAATTAGTACGAAAATGATCTTACATTGAAAATTAAAAAAAACTGCGAGGAAATTAATAAAAAGGTCAATAATATAGTGAAAGTCTCAATAAAATTGAAGAACATGGTCCTTTCCATATAAACATAACTCAGTGAATAAAATTAGAAAAAAGGCCAAAATGAGTTTTATTTGTAGAATTATGTGTAGGAGCAAAGAACAATATTCATATTTTATAAATATTTTTCAAAGAAACAAGTTTTATGACGTTAATTCACTCAATTACAAAATAAATGCTGACATTGCATTACAAAAATTGTAAAAATCAAATGCTGACCAGGAGTTTCATAAACTTTCTTAGGATTATATGCATGCTAAATAAATTCTTTCACTCAAGAAGGGTTTACACTTAAAAAAAGAAAAAAAGACCTTTCAATAATAATACTTCATCACTTAACCCCAGTAAACTGTTGTTGCAGGAAAGATGTCCAATGGCTATAACCTGTGGCTAACAATACATTCCAACATGTTTTGCTTCTTTTGTTCACAAAACAGCCATTTTAAACAAAACAAAAAAAAAAAAAAATAAATATCTAAACATGTTTTGACACATAACAGGATAATTAATAAAAACGAGGAGGGAAGGAGGAAATGAAAATTATATAGCATTTCTTCACAATAAGTTTCTTTTGTCCCCCACCCCACCAAGTTCTTTTCTTTCAAAAAGAAAAACTCTTGTCATGTAAGACATTCTTAAAATAAATAATTAGTTGCTTTTATCAGCTCCAGAAAAATTGGTATATGTCAACAGTGTTTTTTCTTTTTTAAACCTGATAAAGTAGAGGAAAAAAAAAAAATTAATGCTTACCTGCTGTGCATGATTTTGTCTGTTAATCATGTCTAGTTTACTAGATCGGTTCAATCGCTCCAATAGGGCTTCAACCATGTATACATCAGTTCTACAAACGGCAACATGTAAGTAATTGTCCCCTTCTTGATCTGTATTCTCAAGATCATCTTCTTTCATACCAGCTACACATCGACGTGCTACACTCAAGTTACCCTGGCCTAGAAAAGAAAAAAATAATAAAATAAGTTTGTGTTTTAATTTGCGGGGAGGAATACAACTGCCCCATAGTCAATTCCTTATATTTTATTACAGTAAAAATCTGACTAATATAGATATAATTTTAATAGGAAGAAATGCAGTATTACAACTCTGCATGATACAAACATTGCAAAAAAGCTTACTTGAAAGTAGTAGATGAATATCAAACAGCACATAAGACCAAACAAATTTGTAGTTAATATATAACAGAAAAGAAAAAAGAAAACCAACCTGGAGATTCACTTGGCTGTGATGATTTTTCTTTCTCACGTCGACCCTTCCCAGTCTGAGCAGAGAGTTTTTTAAGGTCTACTGGATTTCCATTAGGCTCACTATTAGCAGGTTTAGGTAAAATGACTCGTGGGGTTGATCTCACCGTTTTGTTCTTAGTTGTCACAGGAATCTGGGGTATGTAAATAAGCGGAGAGTTTGTCGTTGGTACCAGCATGATTGAATTTGGAGAATTTGCAGGCTGGGCAAGAATTATCACAGCATTGTTGGAAGAGGTGGGAGGTGTGGCATTGACATCTTGGTCAGATGCAGTTGTAACAGGCAATCCAGGGGTCAATTGTTGGATTGCTGGTTGTGGAGGCTGAATAGCGCATCCTGTCACATGACTCTGAGAGGCTGTTACACGTTGTTGATGTGGGGAATTAGCAAACTGTTGTTTTGGTGTGGCTAAGCTTTGATGCTGTGACAGCATATAATGTTGGTTTGAAGTGGAGGTTATAATTTGTGATTGTTGTTGTGGTTGTACAGCATAATGTGTTTGATTGGTGACTTGTGTCTGTTGAGCAAGGGGAAAATGCTGTTGGCTGGATGCAACTGGTTGTAGTGCAACAGAGTATGGTTTACTGCTCTGAATCATTTGCGTCTGTTGTTGAGAAGTGAAGTGTTGATTTGAAGCTGTTGAATTTGCACTTTGCTGATTTTGTTGGTTGTAACCTAATAGGCTAGAACTTTGGACTGGCTGCTGCGAGTGGCTGTAAATCGGCGGCTCTGGAACAACATATTGGTGTTGATTTCCTGTTGTTGATATCTGTTGTACAGGGTACTGTTGCTGGGTAGGAGCATTGCTCAAGACATTTGCCTGCTGAGGTGGCAGACTATATGGTATATGGCTTGAACTTGTCACAATTTGTGCTTGTGGTGGTGGTGGTGGTGGTGGCTGCTGCTGCTCCTGCTGCTGCGTGAATTGATGATGGTTCGAATTTACCAGAATTGGTTGATGTGGCTGTGGACAAGTCGTTATTGGTGGTTGCTGGGGCAAGAACTGTGGCTGGTTATGAGTTGGCCGTGGGGGTAAAGTAATGTCTGGCTTTAAAAGGTTCCCTAAAATGTCATTTAACTCTGGATTATATAGAGATGGAGGTGACGAAGATGGTATAGATCCTTGCTGGGGGACATGCTGGGGAGGTGAAGAAGCTGAAAAACTATCATCCCGCAATGCCTTTTCTAGCCTTTCTTTCTCCTCTTTAATGCGGCTTGTGTTTAGATCTTTTTCAATAATTTCACAGACATCTTCCAATTTATTTTCATCAAATTGACAGTCCTCATTAGAAGTTTCTTTCTTAATAAAATGAAAATTGTCAAAAGATATTTCTCTGAAGTAGTTATCATTATTGTCTGGTGACGCCGAGGAGCTATAATCAGAAAACGGGGATACAACTTGGCCATCTTCAGGTACCGAATCAGAACTAGATTCTCCAGGACTAAAACTGGAGTCATATTCTTCAGTTGAAGCTATAGAAGGACTTTGGTTGATGGTCATGATTCCACCCGATGTCTGATGAGTATTTTGGAGTACATTTTGGTTTACAAATTCAGCAATTTTTGAACATTGCATCTGTAACAAAGAATCTGTATGTTCTGTCGGCTTTTTATATTTAACAGCATGAAATTCACTTTCATTATAAGACCTTTTAGTTTTAGAATCCAATGTGTAAGAGTTACAAGTGAATTTGTTATAGCTTGCTGCAAAGGTTACTGGCACTCCGCCTGTTGGTGCTCTTGAGATAATTTCATCTTTATTCTCAGATTCATCTAAGTTTTTTGACTTTTTTATATCTTCAGTTAAGGTGATTTTAGCCATTAAAGATTCCAACTCTTCTGTAGTCTTTTCCTGTAACATTTTGTCATCTTGCACATTTACATTTAAAGTGGTTTTTGCAAGTTCAATATTAGACTTGTAATCTAAGTCCACAGAACTTTCACCTGACACAAAAAAAGAAAAAGAAAAAGATCAGGTGATGACATAAAACTATATAGCTAGTCTATTTAAGCTAACTAAATAATTGCAAGAAATATTCATCAAATTTCTTAACACCCCCACCTATTTACATTTAATCTTTCTTAATAGCACCACCATTACCATCTGGTAAAAGAAAGACAAAAAAGTTAAAAGGTCTTCAGAGTCTATAAATATAAAATATGGAGTAATAGAAAGTTTAACTAGGTACCATAAAAGATTAACCCATACCCATCTTAACTCCATAGTGTGTGTAAGAGAGAGTACTATATATTATTATGGTAATTAAAAAACAAACAAACAATAGTTCCTTTAATGATTTAATATTTTCAAGTTCACATATGTGAAAGTAAGAAGGCTGAAAGAGTCAAGGTGCAACAGGTAGACAAGGCCAAGTAAATGAAAAAGTGATTTTAAAATATAAACTAAGACAAAAAAAAAAAAAAAAAATTTCATTTTGTCCAACTTGTAAAATTTTATTTTCTCAATTATTAACTCATCAACATTCAAGATATAAAACAAGGTCTACAATTAGAGATTAGGTAGATTACACATTGATGCAAAAACATTTAAAAGGATTTTTATCCAAATGAAAGTTAAAATGTCTAAAAATACAAGTTGTTTGAAAATCTTAGATGAAACATTTTCAATGAAAATTTTTCCATTATTAATTTCATTATTTTCATTTTATATGCTATTTTCTTTTTAAAAATCAATGAACATTGGAAAAAGAACCCAAGATAAAAAATAAAATCATCAAAATTAACCTAAAATTTTAAGTGCAACTGAGTTACTCTTGTAACAAGAAGAGTAACTCACTCAGTTGCACTTAAAATTTAGCTCAAATTGAAATTTATCAAATTCATTTAGCTCTGCTTCAACAAGACTTCTTGAAGCAGAGCTAAATGAATTTGATACTAATGTCAACTCTTCTTGAAGCATTTCATTATTTTCTATGCCAATCATATAATTAAATTTATTACATGAAACAATACATTTTTTTTTTACCTCCAATCCGAACGAAACAAATGTTTGTACAAAATTTTAATTCATTTGATTTATACAGCATTTTAAAGTAAATTTAGCACTGGTGGCATTAGTGGAGATTTATTTTATCCCTTCACCCACACACACACTTGTATGAAACAAATTAATCAAACCAAGTGCGTATTGTGTAGACATTGGAAAGTAGGTAAAAAGTGTGTTACTGTTAGTGTTATTTGATTAAAAACTTCTAAAACAACGCATAAATTTAAAAATAATCATGTAGAGGCGTGTAAAATAAAAAATACTTCCATATCATATTCAATTCAAATTACTGAATAAGATAAAGTTATAAATATGCTAATTAATTAGGTAAAAAACTAAGAGTTCATTTTTAAGTTAGTACTGAAGTAGGAAGGATGATAAAACGTGGCTGGTTGGCTAACTCCGCTAACAACAAGATAAGTAGCGACCAGCAGTAATAATAACCCAAGTTAAAGCAGCAACACAATCTGTCCCATTAACATAACATTATCAATTTTCTGCAGTTTTTTTTTTTTTTTTAGCGTCATCGTCTCAGTTGCGGAGGTAAACTTTTTTTTCCTTTTCTCTGTTCGATACGAAGTATGGGTACTCATCAAATTTTAATTCATTTGATTTATACAGCATTTTTAAATAAATTTAGCACTGGTGGCATTTTAGTGGAGATTTATTTTTATTCCTCCACCCACACTTGTATGAAACAAATTAATCAACTCATTTCTTCATTTATAAAGAATTAAACTTAATTATGATTTGAAAACAATTTTGAGTTTTGACAATCATATGCTTTTAGTAAAATTTCTAAATCAGTAAGATCTTTAACTCGTGGGAGGATGATTAACATTTTTTTTTCGCTTGGACTGTTCTCCCGAAAGAACAGGTATTGATTTCATTCTCTTTCAGAAGTTTCAGCCTTATTTAGTAAGTCGTAGTTTCATTGATACATTGCCACAAAATTTTAGCCTTCTTTACAATTTGATATTGGGACAACTAACAGTAAATAAATATGCACCCCCTTTTTTTTGTAACGAATCAAGCTTATTTTTCATTTTCATGATTATGATAATATTCTAAAAAATAATATTTTTCCTACAATTGATAACTCTCAAAGTGGCTTCAGTTCACTTCAAGGTAATGAAATTTTATTGGCCGAGTTTAAGATCCTCTTCCTCATTTAGCCGAAATACTGAGATACATTTCTTCCAAGACATCGGAAAAATGTCAAGGCCAAAAAAAAAAAAAAAAAAAAATCAACTAAATTAAACTTTTAAGGTTAAAGGAATAAAAAAAAAAATTATTTGTTCTAAAAATTATAGAACGTACAGTACAGCTTTTTTTTTTTTTTACAAAGTAAGTTCGCCTTGCTTTTAAAAAATATTTTCAATATTTGAAAAGCAAAGACGAATTTACTTTTTAAAAAAAAGCTGATACTGAATGAATGAAAAATATATTTTTCCATTCAGTATCCGTATTTGAAGGAAATGTAGGCAAACATATTTGGATCGGGATCAAATATCGAATCATTTTATTTCTAGTTTAAACAAATAAACATTTTTCCAACTATTTTTAAAGATCAACTAAAACAAAATTACAGCATAAAATTTAGAAACTTTGCGATTTATTCCTACAAAAAATATTAACATAAAAATAAAAAGAATTAGTTGTCGATTTTTGAATAACACAAAAAAAAAACATCGACCGTTCACTTTGAGTTTGATGGCTTTTTACAAAAAATAAAAATAATGTCGATATTGATACTGTTCTTGAGACAATTTGTCATTTCAAGTTTTTAAAATTTACAAATACCACACGGTTTGTTACTTTTTTTTTAAATAATAATAATAATGAGGAGTAGTAGTAATTCGGAACAATTTAGTACAAGTTTTAAAGTGGCCATGTGTGGAACACGATCTCTAAAAAAAAAAAAAAAAAAAAATATAATGTATTTTAAATTTTAATTTATGAAATTTTTTTGTGTCAAAAAAAAAAAAAAAAAAATTCAAGTTGAAGATCAGGTAAGAAGACTAAACAAAAACAAAAAAATACCAGAATGCGGTTAAGTGTTCTGTGACGAGCAGATTCATTAACTAACAACAACCTGTAGCTTCTTAAAACTGAAAACAGATCATTCAATTTTAAAGTCAGCTAAAAACTTCGCAAATTCAAAATATTGAAACACCTTTGAACAAGAGAGAAATATTGAATAATTTATCGTTTATATGAAATAGTTAATTAATTACGTCATTAATTATTATTCAACAGTCTACTTTCCCGAGCAATAAAATAAATCCAAATTAGACAGAAATTACAAACTTTTCGACAGTTTAAACTTTAGTTTTAAATTAAATAAAAGTAAAATTCTACTGAAAACACAAGTAAAAATAAAATGTACGAAAATAAATGGCGGTTTTACTTTTAATTTACTTGTCCTAATTCTATTTAGGATAATCCCCACCTACGTAATAATTTTTCTTGACCCTTCCAAGTTCTTATTCAAAAAGTGTAAGCAAGAAATTTTAATTATAACATCAGTTAATTCACGAACCTAAAAGTAATTATTAATTACTTCAGTCGTGATGTCTAAGAAAGGAGAAATTAAAAAAATACTAATTCTTAGAAAAGAAAGACTCAATAAAAAAAACATTTTTTTTATTCTAGAAGATTTCGTCTGTCCAAGAAGACTGAATATTTAATATAAAAATGTCAACAAAAAAGGGAAATCTAATAATAAGATGACTCATCAGGTCATTACGAGGAAAAACAAAAACAGACTAATTTTGACATTAGAGATCATGTCAAACGAATCTCGTACAGGAGGCCAACAAAAACGGGGGGGGGTGTAAGGTTTTTTTTTTTTAGAGACTTTAACGTATAATAAAGAAAAATTTCAAAAATCTACCTTCGAATACTTTCTTTTCTCCATCTGAATTATCCGTTTCTAAATCGTCGTAATCCAACGGCATTTTTCTAGCTTTAAATTGAAATAGCTCTCGTAGTAATTGCGTGTTAAACAGCAATGGAGTTTAGCAAAGTTATGAGTACAGTTGTTGGATGGGGGCGGAGGGGTAAATTCAACAGCTCTGATTGGTCAAAATTATTGCTCACGTCACATTGTATTTTCCTAATAGAAGGGTGAATGAGGGAGGGAAGCTAGAAGAAGATAAAATGGTAAATTAAATAAAAACAAAGAAAGAGAGAATGTAGTAGAGTAAGAATCTAATTGATAAAGATAGCGCCAAAAGTAGAAAATAGTAAAAAGAAAGAAAAAAAAGAAAGAAGGATAAGGTAAAAGATTAGAAAGAGAAATGGTGGGGAATGAAAATAGTGAAGGAAATATGTTTGTTGAAGACATGAAAACAAAAACAAAGTTAAAAAAACAAATATTTTTAAATGAACGTCTGTTTCTCAGTGAGTGCTTTTACGAAACACCTAAAAAGCTATTTAAACAAAAAAAAAAAAAGAAACAAGTTTTGTATCAAATTAGTTAAGTTTTTTTTTCTCCGTGATAAAAATCAATACTTAGTTTATCATCTTGGAATAAGTACTTAATGAAAATGAATATTTTTTAACTGATAATTTATTTAGTTAGAGAATTTTAAAGTTATTTTTTTTCGACTTCGACTTAAAAGTCTTGATCTCGTTTGACAATGACCTGAATTACATAGAGACATGTGACCACTAGTATTTATATTTGGTATGCTTCCAGTATAAAATGAATACTGCGGATAAAGCACAACCGCTTTTTGATTTTTAAACAAATGACAAACTTTTCATGTAAAAGAGTCGGGATTTATGTATTTGTTAAAAAAAAAGTGTTTTACTTTTAGTATGAACATTGACAATGATTAAACTAAAAAGGTCAGTCTCGTCTGTGATTTTCGATCGACAATAGCGTAAAAAATTCACAATAACGGCTTGCAACATAAGTCGAGTCGAGTTTCTTAGTGTGTCATCATGACAATTATTAAACAACTAAAAATCTTTAATCACCTTTTGTGATTGTGTTTTTATCAGACATTTTATTTCTTAAAGAGATTTTGTTGTGTACGACATTTTTATGTTCAGATTGTTTTTTAAACATTTAAGTTAAATGTTAGTTAAATGATTAACAACTGTTCTCGGAAGTAAGTAACAATAATTTGGATATAAGATGATAAGTACTAAATTCTCAGTTACTTTGGCCTGTTAAAAAGGGAAGACCTACTGTAAGTGTAGCAAGAAAAGCGGATCTTTCAAAAGTGCAGTTAGTAAGGGAGATATCTGCCTGTGTAAGACAACCTACACACTTTCTTAAGGCCATAAGTGTCTTCGTATTGGAATTCTGTTTTTATGGAAATCTTTTAAAATAAATCGGGGGAAATCATTAAGAACTTAAGAAGAATTTCAGTTTCAAAGTATTATTTAGGCTAAAAATAATACAAAACTGATATATAATTAATGATAAGAAAATTCAACAAAGGTATTGAAAAATGTTTGTATTTTGAAAATTTATTTATCTGAAATCCATAACACTGAAAATGAAAAATGTTCTCCTTCATCTCTGAACTCTTTTATTTTTTAATTTTCTTTTCATGTATTTTAAATTATTGAAATGTTTTATTACCAATGAATTTTATTTTTAACGAAACATTTTTTTAAGATCCTGAGAATCACTTAAAAAATGAATGAAAAAAAAACAATGGCAAATGTCACACAGAGTTAGGTTCAGTGTTTGATCCCACATGCTTGTGTAAAAGCCCAAATAATCACGCGCTTTTGTTTACTACGATAAGAAGGTGCAACCCAGAGACCAGGTACATACTATTACTCTCTCTCTCTCTCTCGTTTTTCTTTCTTTCTTTTCTATTACAAAGGTTGATCCTAGTGCAACACAAGAAGAAACCTTTTTTTGTACCAGATTTGATTTTTCAGAGACGAGACAACTTTAGTATATTAGTTCCAAAAAAGCAGTGGAAATGAACTTGACAACGATAACCGATTCGGTCCATTTCAAGACAACAGCGATGTTTGCCAGTCTTTGTTTGGAAAACACCTTCAAGCCACTGCAACAATCACCAGATACATATAATGAAATTGGTGGAAGAACAATGGACATAGAGCTGCATACACAACCACGTAATGACCAATATCACTTCAACCACAATCACATAAGATATGACAATGTCACACTAGGACCAGAGAACAGAAAAAACACATTGATACTGAAGAAAAATGATTTTTTGTTGTCTAAAAGACAACAGTCAGATATATTTTTTCTTTCTATTTCAAGAGCATCCAAAACTTGCCAAGTTCTGATAACTTATATGATTATAATACATCTTTGTTGGATTATTTTTTTATTAGAAATAATTTTGATACCTAATTAATAATAAAGAGGACAAAAAAATAATAAAGCAGAGACAGAAAAAGAGAAAGCAATTTATAAATTTTATTTCTTGGGATCTTGAATAAGTCATCCTTCTTATTTTGGTTACATGTAAAATCAGGATTGGCAAAAGAAAGAAAGTTAAATGTATGAAAGTGAGTCTAAAAGTAATGTTTGTTATATTATATAAATAATAAGGAACACAAGCAAACATATACATCAAGTTATAACTATACATCACAGGTTCACATCCCTACTTCTCAACATAGTCACCACCTTTTTCAATGGCAATGTTCCATCTATGAATGAGGGCATGTATTCCAGCTTTGTAAAGCTCAGCTTGCTGCTGATGTAGCCAATTCCTTACAGCAGTTTTCAATTCTTCATCATCACCTAACTTAGCACCATCAGACTTCCATCTCTTTGGTTCAATGAAAGAGGCACTATGAGGTAAACATTCCATGTCTTCTATAACTCTATTTCTTCTTTCTCTCTTTACCCACAGGATGCCATAGTGACAAGATGTGTCTTGTTTCTACTCTGGCATTTGACAGAGCATATTAACATGCTAATCCATTTCAATTCTTATGTGTAGTGTATTAACACACACATGCTGCTCAAAACACATGTAGCAGCATATGTTGGTTTCTATTCACCTCCAGGACATGGACAGACAACAAGGACTTATCTGACACCATAAACCAGAACCTTTTTGAAAGTAGAACACACAAAGGTAAAGTTTAGTATGTTCTTTCTCAATGCAATAAATGTTATGTTTAGTATATGTTTGACTATTCTTATTCTTTTTTCAGAATTATCCATAATGTCCATTAACTTGTGCGAGTCCATCACACACGAACATACATACATACAAATACAAATCACATACAATGCCAAGCATTCATTGGTTAATTAATCACCACTATGTTATTATAGACAACTAGCAGTAGAGCCCGGCGTTGCCCAGGGATGTAACAGTAAGAGATAGATCAAGTATCGACCATCATAAAGACTGAAAAATAAAATTGACAAAGATTATTGTTTAAGGTTGACGGGCACGCATGTCTTAACTAGTTTTTTTTGTTTTTTTTTATGAATTGGTCAAACCCAAACAAAAACATTGTTTTCAATCGTTATGAGTCTATCGATTGAATAGAATTTTATTATAAACAATTGTCTTGTAAATGGAATTTTTAAAGCATTCTGAATGTAAAAATAAAGAAAAAAGTGTGCAAGACAATAAGAAACACTACCTGCCAAAAAAAAGTGAAGTTTTGTTGAAATCGGTTGAAAAATGTAGGAAATCCGATCCCATATATAAACGAACACACACACAAACAACCTGGGTTTTATAATAAGTATAACTCGATATGAGTTCTCCCCCTTTCATTCTGGTGACAGAATCGTGTTTTATCATGTTTTCAAATTGATTTCATGCAAAAACAATTGATTTTCCCATTTTTGGCACCGTCAGAACCACCACAAGGTAATTTTATGCAGTCCTATGAAGTTTTGTTGAAATCGGTTGAAAAATGTAGGAAATCTGATCCAATATATAAATGTACAGACACACACACACACACACACACACACACAATCTGCATTTTATAATAAGTAAGATTTACAAATTGCAGCAATGTGACAATTTTGTAATCGCTCTATTTTCATGGAGTCAGTTTTGGCACTTTTGGGAGAAACAGATCACAGAAGCTGTCTTAAGTCTCCCCAAAGCTCGTTTGCTGATTGGTCTATGCCAACCAATCAGATTGTCTGCACGTGAAGAATAATTCTTCCCATGCAGTGATCTGGAGCCTATAGTCACTTATTTAAGCAAGAATTTTTCTTAGCTAATTAGTGAGAATTCAGTTGCCAAACGAATCCATGACAGTTGAAACCATGAAACAATTAGAGACGGTAGACTGAAGAAGGCCTGTGTGTACAATGTCCAAAACATTATAACAACCAAGATGAGTATACACATCCAAATAGTAATGAAGTCATTGCATCTGTTAATGAATAACGCACGTGGACTGATGAATAACAAGATTTTAATCTTTCATATTTGACATTACATTTCACTCCAGTACTGTCATCCAGTGTGTGTGCGCATCTCCATGAAGTTCTCATCTAAATGTAAACCTTATGTTCTCATCTGCAATATCTGAGAGACTACCTATCTCTTCTCTAGGGAAGCTGTTTATATATCCTCCTATCCAACAAATTTTCTCATGTACATACATATCAGGCACAGCTCTTGGAGTTGCCACTGACATGAACTGTGGATCTTCACTTCTGAGTGGGAGGTCATCTCAGGTCAACTCCCACACCTAGATTCCTTGATGGTCTTGTGTGAAATTGAGTGTAAAGCCTATTATACTACAATAAAGTGTATAATCAGTCTTTACAGAATTAAAAACTGGCAGTAAAACTGTGAGTATAAGTAGTAGAAATAATTGATTTGGGAAGTTCAAATCTAGAAAAAAACTTTTTAGAAATAAAGAAATTTTTATTGGATATGCAGTCACTGGGACAGTTGTGTATCCACCCACTCACATACATGTATAGATAGACAAATGGAAAGAGTAAATGGTATTCATA